AGCTGAGTTAAGAAGCCGATTGGTTACTTCAGTGGAAAAAGTATTCATACCCCTTGAAATTACCCACACTTGTCATGTTACAACAAAAACGTAAATGTGTTTTATTGAGATGTTATGTCATAGAGCAACACAAAGTGGCACATAATTGTGAAGTGGAAGGAAAATGATAAATGGTTTTCAACATTTTTTACAAATGGTGAAAAGTGTGACGTGTTATATATCAGCCCCCTGGGACAAATTTGTAGAACCACCTTTCTCTGCAATTACAGCTGAAGTCTTTTTAGGGTATGTCTCTACCAGCTTTGCACATCTAGAGAGGAATATTTCTGCCCGTGCAGAATAGCTCAAGCTCTGAGATTGGATGGAGAGTGTCTGTGAACAGCAATTTTCAAGTCTTGCCACAGATTCTCAATTGGATTGAGGTCTGGACTTTGACTGGGTCATTCTAACACATGAATATGGTTTGTAGCTTTGGCTGGATGTTTAGGGTTGATGTCCTGCTGGAAGGTGAACCTCCGGCTCAGTCTCAAGTCTTTTGCAGACTCTAAGAGGTTTTCTTCTAAGATTGCCCTGTATTTACTTTCCATCATCGTGCATCCAGCATTCATGTCACTTATGCAGAAAAGCATCCCCACATGATGCTGTCACGACCATGTTTCACGGTGGGGATGGTGTGTTCAGGGTGATGTGCAGTGTTAGTTTTCTGCCACACACAGCGTTTTGCTTTTAGGCCAAAAAGTTCAATTTTGGTCTCATCTGACCAGAGTACCTTCTTCCACATGTTTGCGGTGTCCCCCACATGGCCTCTCGCAAACTGCAAATGGGACTTCTCATGGCTTTATTTCAACAATGGCTTTCTTCTTGCGCGTTCTTCCATAAAGGCCATATTTGTGGAGTGCGCGACTAATAGTTGTCCTGTGGACAGATTCTCCCACCTGAGCTATGGATCTCTGCAGCTCCTCCAGAGTTGCTCCAGTCTCTTGGCTGCTTCTCTCCTTGCCTGGCCTGTCAGTTTAGGTGGATGGCCATGTCTTGGTAGGTTGGCAGTTGTTTCATACTCTTTCCATTTTCGGCTGTTGGATTGAACAGTGCTTGGGATTTTTTTCTCCAGCCTAACCCTGCTTTAAACTTCTCCACAACATTGTCCCTGACCCGTCTGGCGTGATCCTTGGCCTTCATGATGCTGTCCGTTCAATAATGTTCTCTAACAGGGATTCACAGAACAGCTGTATTTATACTGAGATTAAATTACAAACAGGTGGACTCTATTTACTAATTAGGTGACTTCTGAAGGCAATTGGTTCCACTAGATTTTAATTAGGGGTATCCGAGTAAAGGGGGCTGAATACAAATGCACGCCACACTTTTCAGATATTTATTTGTAAACATTTTTGAAAACCATTTATCATTTTCCTTCCACTTCACAATTATGTGCCACTTTGTGTTGGTCTATCACAGTGGTCGGCAAGCCGCGGCTCGCGAGCCACATGCGGCTCTTTACAAACTTTAATGCGGCTCTTCTGTGTGCTGGGCGCCCGCTCCCCTCCCTCCTCTCTGGCTGTTAGGATGTAGGCGGGGCAGCCAGGATGTAGGCGGGGCAGCGTGACGAACTCCTCTCCTCTCACAGTCCGCCCTGAAGACCGGAACGGCGTGGGAACACAGCGAGAGGAACGCGCGGAGCAAAGGTAAGTGAACTGACACAATATGGGGGATGAATTACTATAGGGGGGATGAATTACTATAGGGGGGATGAATTACTATATGGGGGATGAATTACTATGGGGGATGAATTACTATATGGGGGATTAATTACTATGGGGGATGAATTACTATGGGGGATGAATTACTATATGGGGGATGAATTACTATATGGGGGATGAATTACTATGGGGGATGAATTACTATATGGGGGATGAATTACTATGGGGATGAATTACTATGGGGGATTACTACTATAAGGGGGATGAATTACTATATGGGGGATGAATTACTATGGGGGATGAATTACTATATGGGGGATGAATTACTATGGGGGATGAATTACTATATGGGGGATGAATTACTATGGGGGATGAATTACTATATGGGGGATGAATTACTATATGGGGGATGAATTACTATATGGGGGGTGAATTACTATATGGGGGATGAATTACTATGGGGATGAATTACTATATGGGGGATGAATTACTATATGGGGGATGAATTACTATATGGGGGATGAATTACTATATGGGGGATGAATTACTATATGGGGTATGAATTACTATATGGGGGATGAATTACTATGGGGGATGAATTACTATATGGGGGATGAATTACTATATGGGGGATGAATTACTATGGGGGGATGAATTATTATATGGGGGATGAATTACTATATGGGGGATGTATTTTCAGTTTTAAAAATGTGGCTCTCAAAATAAATTTCAATCGTGGTTTTAGCGAGATTTGGCTCAGTTGAAAAAAAAGGTTGCCCACCACTGGTCTATCACATAACATACAAATAAAATGCATTTACGTTTTTGGATGTAACATGACAAAATGTGGAACATTTCAGAGGGTATGAATACGTTTTCAAGGCACTATATGCACATTTGGTCCAGAGTCTGTTTGCTCCAATTTTAATAAATTACTACCAGCAAATTCTTGTTTTGATGATCAATGTGACGTTTAGCACTAAGCAAGATGGATACATTGCTGGCACTTCTGTAATGTGGCGCTGGAGTCGGTGTTATTATTTTCATTATTTTTTTTTGTTTAAATGTTCTCTGATTGTGTTCTGCTATTATCCAAAATACACCTGTAGGTTAGCTGGCTGGCTTCCACCTGTTGTGACTCTAGTATGTCAGAGCTATCGAAACAAAGTCATCACTGTGGAGCGTAAGCTCCTCTGGTGCAGAGACTGATGTGACTGGCTGTGTTTTCTTACAGCACTGAGATTTAGAGACTATGGTGAGGGCATTAGAGTGTAAGCTTCTCTCATGTAGAGACTAATGCGAATGGCCAGTATTCTCCGTACAACACTGAAGAAATCACTGACATAAATATAGAATGATGATAGTGCGTCTGTAGAATATGTCAGAGCTATATACTGTAACTGTATGATAATAATATTAGTGTGTGACTGTGATAGGGACATTAGAGTGTAAGCTCCCCTGGTATAGAGACTGAGGTAACTGGCTCAGTGATCTCTGTACAACACTAGAAAATGTTAGGGCTAAAAAAATGTAAAATAGGAAGAAGAGAAAGAAGAACAACAAAAAGTTGTGACTGCGGTGGGGGGGCATTAAAGTGTAAGCTCCTCTGGTGCAGAGGCTAATGAGAATGGCTCAGTGTTCTCTGTACAGCACTATGGAATATATCAGAGCTATATAAATGTATAATAATAATGATGCATGACTGTGGTTCCGGACATTAGAATCCTCTGATGCAGAGACTGATGGAAATGGCTCTGTACATAGAATTGTGTATTATTTCAGAACTAAATTAACATGAGAAATAGGAATTCCTGCAAACCAGTAACCCAATAAAAAAGAATTCATATCATTGCTTTTTTTCTTTTTTTTTACACACATTTGATCAGATCTGACAGCGTGAAAGCCTCACTGTCAATGAATTGAAACGCATCTTCGACATGTCCGTCCAGCGTTGAATTCAGGTTTGGGTCTCGTGTGATTAATTATCGACACCCGGATATAGTTGGGTACACGGCCCTCGCTCCCCTTGGAAAGGCTGGATCGGTCCAGCTCAGCGGGAATATAAATATTGTTCTCGTCCTTCTCACTTACAATTTCCCGGCAAGGCACAGATTCTTTTTCCTCCCATCATAGCGACCTTTGAAATGAGAAACCTACCATGCTGTTACCTGTCAGATGTAGTTTTTCTATCACAATCCGGTTAGGAATTTTTTTTTCTCCTTTTCCGTGCGCGTGTGTTACTTCAGACGATGGTGCGATGGGAGGGAACCTCGAAGGCCATCTTTGAAAACTGGTTTCAAAGTTAGGGGAGAAATGAAAGAAAGGAGAAGGAGGCGTGCTCTTTACAGCAAAGGCTCGGCAATGTACTACGGCTGGGACTGAAGTTAAACATAGGAACAGTCCAGTAGGCATTTTAACAGAACTGCACAGCCAGTGTCGGGAGTGAGCTTGTACACTGCTGGGCGCTGCCCATCAACTGCCAACAACTCTCTGATAGCCCGGGGCAACCTGTGTCTGGCAAGGTATGCTGAGAAGTGTAGTCCCTCAATAAGGAAAGCTTGCTTGAAGCATAAGTTCATTTTTCATTAAAAAAAATATAAATGCACATCTTTTAGCCGGTAAAATGTGCATTTATTAGTTCTTTTACAATACAGTCTAAGGCATTGCACCTGCGATCTTCAGCTTGAAGGTGCGATGCCCAGATCCTGCAAACATCAGTAAGCTGTCTGCCCGTACCTCGTACGCACAGGCAGTTACTGAATGGAAGGAAGAAACAATAGACTACGAGGATGCTCACCAGCGCCCTCTCACAGACCATTGAGAACTACAAACCATCAGCCACAAGGGATGACAGTACTTGCAGGCATTCATTTACAGGGAACTGTGAATGAATGATGCAGCCGTGTGGGCGGAGCCCTGCACGGTCGCAATTGTTTGGAATTGTGACAGCAGGTGCGGGGAGAAGATTCCCTACCCGCTGTCACAGGGAGGCAGGAGTTGGAACATGTTACACCCTAAATAAGGGTGTAACATGTAGCATGTTCCAGAAGGTAAACTTATCCTTTAAAGAAGTGGTCTACAAACTGTGGTCCAAGGGCCAGATGCAGCCCTTTTCTAGCCTTTATCTGGCCCTTGGGGCACTATTGCTCCCACTGTCACCAGCAGTATGGCATAATTCCTGCCAGTGACACTAATGATGGAGTACTATTCCTCTAAATAGTATCAATGCTGGGGCACTATTCCTCCCACTGACACCAACAATGGGGCACTATTCCTCCCACTGACACCAACAATGGGGCACTATTCCTCCCACTGACACCAACGATGGGGCACTATTCCTCACACTGACACCAACGATGGGGCACTATTCCTCCCACTGACACCAACGATGGGGCACTATTCCTCCCACTGATACCAACAATGGGGCACTATTCCTCCCACTGATACCAACAATGGGGCACTATTCCTCCCAATGACACCAACTGGGCATATTCCTCCCACTGACACCAACGGGGGCACTCGTCCTCCCAATGACACCAACAATGGGGCACTATTCCTCCCACTGACACCAACAATGGGGCACTATTCCTCCCAATGACACCAACAATGGGGCACTATTCCTCCCAATGACACCAACAATGGGGCACTATTCCTCCCATTGACACCAACAATGGGGCACTATTCCTCCCACTGACACAAACAATGGGGCACTATTCCTCCCACTGACACAAACAATAAGGCACTATTCCTCCCACTGACACCAACAATGGGGCACTATTCCTCCCACTGACACCAACAATGGGGCACTATTCCTCCCACTGACACCAACGATGGGGCACTATTCCTCCCACTGACACCAACAATGGGGCACTATTCCTCCCACTGACACCAACAATGGGGCACTATTCCTCCCACTGACACCAACAATGGGGCACTATTACCTTAATTGATACAAGTGGTGGGGTGCTATACCTCCCACCGATACCAATAATGGGAAACTACTCCTCCGCCTATTGGCCACCAACCCTGTGGCAATGTTTATTCTCACTGGGCCTAGGCCATTTTCTATCCCCACTGGCCACAATCCAGCCCCCTTAAAGTCTAAAGGACAGTAAACCGGCCCTTTGTTTGAAAAGCTTGGTCATGTGAACAGTTGTTTACAATCTTTTTAAATCTGCAACTCAAAAATAACAGCTGCTAATGAATGGATATCTAAAGCCAAAAACAAAAATATGATATATTGCACCTTACCAGTACTTAGATGAGGTGACTGCAATAGTTTATATTTTTCAAAACATTTTCAGTACAGAAAATGTTGATCTTACCAAAATTGCCATGTCCTTGTCATTTGCTGTGAGCTCAACTGAAAAGCCAAACCTTTTATTGTAGATGGAGTTTGGAACCCTTGTCAGGCTTATATTGCTGCCCATGTCCCTGTCAGGCATATACACCCTCTCATCGTGCCCCAGAAACCCTTGTCACTGGGACTGAAAGTGAGGGAGAAACCAAAATGATGTGCTGCCATCAGAACAAAAATGGATCAGAAAGCTGGCCGTACATGGATTAAATTTTTTGTCAGTTCCTACTGAACCAGCAAAATAAATTCTGTGGGTGGCCCTGTCAGCACCTTCTGGCTCGACTTTCAATTGCCTTTCGTCAAACGAGTCAGGTGGAAAATTCTCAACCAAACAACACCTGCATCCGATCAGATGCAGGTACTGTTTGGGTATTCTGACAGCTGTGGGTGCTGACTGTCAGGGCATAAAATCCAGCAGTGCAGATTCGTCCACCCACGCTGTTTAGAGTAGATGGCGAAATCAAGTAAGGCTGGCCATACATGGGTCAAAATTCAACCGATTTTCCATCTGAAAATCGGACCTAAGAATAATCGGCAGATTTTCGCTCTGTTAGTGGGTCAATGGCACTGGCCGATTTTCGTGGTTCCTCCCCTTTTCGGTGATTGGGCATGTTGACCGATTTGCGACTCAATGATGGTCAAATCGTGCGATCATTTTTCCAAAAGAATATGCGCATTAGCTGGATCACTTGACTGGACCAGAGTGGGCTCAAAAAGAGTACATCCATCTTTCTTACACAGGTTAGGAAACATTTCTTTTCAGTTTTGGTTGAACTTCTGTCAGTTTATTTTTTTTTTTACTGTTGCCTTTACCTTAATTTAAAAAGAGACCAATTTCTGTGTTTTTACATTTCTTTTTCCCACAGTAGTGCAAGTCCTAATAATCATGCAAAAATTAGATACTTAACAGTTCTTGTGCAATCATGCAATTTGATTAGTAGCGTGAAGGAAGATAAACTGAAAATAAAGCATTAAGTACTTTGCCTATAACAAGACAGGTGATGGCACAAAAGGCATCATTAGCGGCGGAATGCAGGAAGCTGCGCGTCAAACGCCAGCTGACGACAACTTGCTAATTTCCACGTTAAAGAACAAATTTGTCTTAGACCAGTTTTGTGAATCAGTGACAATTGACACGCGGGACAACAGGAAAAGTGCATCTAATTGTCAAGCGGTAAAAATGATGCATACTGTCAGACTAAGAGACACATGAATACCACAGTCAGCTGGTATTTTCATATAATCTTCAGCAAAGGTACAATATTTTTGCTGCGTGTTTGAAAACGGAGTCCAGGGTCATATCAAAATTATCCACAATTTGGGGGAAAAAAAAGAGAAACAACATGCACAATTCAATATATTTAATTATTGGGGTTAAACTGCTGTTAACCCATGTCTGAGTGTTCTCCGGCTAACAAGTACCAATCTGTGACAGATGGAGGACTGGAAGGGCTCATAAGATCTATGTCCAGCTACCAAAAGGGTTTTTTTCATGGTCAGGCTGGAACGAAAGTCAAGCAGTGATAGCCACATAGCTGCTCAATGATCTACCAAAACAGCTGATGCTCGCGGTCAGCTCCCCAAGTTGTTTGTTACTCCTCAAGGATTGGGAAGGTTAAAAATTCTATCAATGCCAGCTTTCTGAAGCTCTCCTGGACAACTTAAAAGGCATATGTTGTCCTGTTGTATGCCACCAAATAAATGAGTGGCTGTTTTATAGGTTCGATAGACAATAATGCTACCTTTATGGTATATCCCTGAAGATGTCCACAGAGCATTATCCGCTATCCAAACAATCATGGTAGGTAATGACAAGCACAGAAAGCATATGGGAAAAATGTGAACACCCAATGGTCACACCCATATGAGCCTATTGGACATCTGATTCCAAAACCATGGGCATGAATATGGAGTTGACTCCCCTTGTGAGGCTACAACAGCCTTCATTATTCTGGAAAGGCTTTCCACAAGATTTTGGAGTGTATCTATAGAAATGTGTACCCTATCATCCAAAAGAGAATTTGTAAGGTCTGGGAATTATGTTGTGCAAGGAGAGTTGGCTCAAAAAACAGAATTCCAGATATTCAGTATGGTTGAGGTGAGGGCTCTGTGCAGACCCCCGGTCCTCCGCATCAATCTGGTCAAAAACATGCCTTTATGAAGCTGTCTTTGTGTACAGGGACACAAGGGTGCTAGAACAAAAAAAGGGTTGTCCCTTTACTGTTGCCACAAGGTTGGAAGCACACAATCCTCTAAAATGTGTTTTAAAATTAACACGCTTCACAAAAACGTAAAGTGTAAGTTCACTTTTTAAGAAACAATGAAAAGGTGAACTAACACTGTACATGCTCCCAAACCCAACCCTTCCCCCGGTCTCCACTATGCTTACTTCTGTGGATGATGAGCTGCCCGCGCCCACGCAGCTGATGCAATGGTCCCTCCTCTTTCTGCAGTGCTTCCAGGATAGATCAGAGCAATTCTGATTGGTCAGCACCAGAACAGAGCATCACGCTGATCTGTCCTGGACGTGCTACAGAAAGAAGAGGGGAAGACTGGGGATTTCAAATCTCTGGACTGCTGCATTGGCTGTGTGGGCACTGACAGCTCATCAACCATGAAGTGAGTGCAGTAAAGCGGGAACCAGGGTGGTTGGGTGTACGGTATTCGTTTACGTTTTCATTTTTTCTGAAAAGCTGAACTAACCCTGTAGCCTCCCTAGCGGTCTGATTATGTCAGTATTTCTGTGCTCAAAGCGGTACATTATTTTGCATGGAAATATGTTGTTTTTTTATTATAGACCTGTAATTTTTAGGAATAACTCACTGAAATCTGTCCAAACAAGAGTCTAGTAAACATCCCGGGTATGATAAAATTATAAACACGAAATCATAAATTATAATTTAATAAATAATCATAAAAATAATAATATAATAATAATAAATTTAATTCAATAATATAATCAAACCAAAAACACTGAAATTTGAAATATAGCGCCAAGTTCGCACATCACTGAACAAAGTCGAAAAATCGTTTTCAGTGTCTGATGACGAATTTCCCCTACGAATCATTATCACTCAATTCTGCAAGTGGTTCTGATTTACTATCGCTGTTCTCTAGCCGGTCTAAAACCGATTTTGACCTAAAGGGACGCTTTTTGGACGCCATGGACATTTCTCAGTTTCCAGGCAGAAAGAACAGTAAAAATGCAGGCAGGGCGCCGGACAAAGCACTCGGGACAAAATGTATGTGAAATGGTTTGATACAGTATTGTTATACTATGTGATTTTAGTGTATTTTGTGAATGTCACTTTTTGACATTTTTAAATTTCTCGCCGTTCCGTCCCCCGTACGTCCCGACGCTCGCAGGGAACGGAACCCAAAAGACAGATGCCGACATCGGCCGGAGAACATTGCCGGGGACCACTGACACTGCAGGTGGGACATTGCGGGAGCGAAGGACAAGGTAAGTGAAGAAGAGATCCTGGAGCAGCGCTGCATGGTATTCCAGAGTGTAGCTTGGGGTTACCGCTTGTGGTGCTGAAACTTTACCCCGAGCTACACTCGGGAATACCGCCAGGCAGGTTAAAGATGATCTATAGTCACAGCATACACTTTCATTTTCTAACATCAGCATTGTGATTGCAATACAAAGATTTTTTTTTCCAATCCAATATAAACTTACTTGAAACATCTTTTTTCGTGTTGTCTGGCCAGTGCCTAGGACACAGGCCAGCTCTTTCAACAACTTCCTGGATTCCATGAATGCTTTACAGCTTCTCCTCTGCTCATTCTTTTGGTTTACTTTCAAATTCCAAGGACTACATATCCCATGATACCTTTCTGCCTGCCAGTAGAGATTCCTGTAGTGACTCCGCCTCCTGAAACTCCTCTATGTAGCTCAGAAGGCAGGCTCTGCGAAATGTGTGACACAATGCCTTCTACCCACAGTAACATTGTGTCATGGAATTCAAGGAAGTACATGTATAGGATACTTCACAACTTCAATATTCTTCAAATTATAGAATAAGGATTGAAATAATTGAAAATCAATGCGGATATATTTGACCAAAGCTATGCTTTAAAGTAAGTCATTTTAGAAGGGTGTCACATAGTTTTGTCCACATAATGTAGGGGTGATTAGGTGTCCAAACAATTTTGGTGATATGGTATAACTGAGAATGTTACCCACATACCTCAGTAAAGAATGTCATACGTTAATGCTAGAATGCCTACTTCTCTTTTGAAGTTGCCCAATTCACACATTTTCAATACCAAATCCCTATTTACACATTATTGGACATCTACATTTCAAGAAACCAGACAACCGTGTTATCAGATAATGGTGGGCAAATCTTTTTGAGACTGTTGCTTACAGGTCGTAGTAGAACGTCCTTTGGCTTTCGGAAGAGTCTGAAATCTAAAGCTGGCCATAGATGGTTCAAATTTCAG